TATTTATACTTAATTTGTATTTAAGTAAGTAATAACAGTGGATTAGAATGATTAGACTCTTGCATGCTATTATAATTAACTAGTGTGCAATTCTAGATTTCTCGTACTTCAGAGTTGACCCTATTGTGTTATTAGACTAACTGTTTTGTTAATTATTCTGAAAATAAATAGATTTCGGTCATTTTAATCATCATTATTTTTATTTGTTAATGTTTAAATTGTAATATTTCTATACATAATGTTTTAAATAAATTCATTATTGGGAATTTTGTACACTCTGAGTTGTACCTATATCAAAGGTTGAATATTTTTAATTAATTTTAAATTTTATTGGCATGATAATATTATTACGTTAATACTGAAATTAATTAGAATAAAAAGTAACCGTTTACGTGTAATCACACATGTTAGTTAATTGCCAAACAATTTAGGGTTATTGTATATTATATATTTTGTAATCTGTTGTAATGATGTGAAAATAATTCGTTATTATTGGGTATGTAGGCATTATAACAGAATTAAAATACGTTTTTTTGTGTCATATACTGTCATTTGTACTATAATAATATTTCAAATGTTTAAGTAAAATGTTATCAACGAACCCATATACATTAGAATCATTATATTGTTGTTTTCATTATCCATAATTTTTACACTATTATACTATCACCAAATGTGTAACAAAACTCGATTCAAACGACGATACATTCGTGCAAACATAAATTGTGCGTCTGTTTTTGTATTTTGTCGTCAGGAAAACATCATTAAAAAAATATTAAAAATTCACTTTTCTATGCAAGTCTCATAATTTTTTAGCAATCATCTCTATTTTAAATGTAAATTCCATTACATTAATTTGTACTGGTATTATGTATACGTGTGTTATTCATGTTTTTGTCTTTACTGAGTTATTGTAAGTCAAATGCATTTTTAAAAGTACCTAGAATCTACATGTTATTAATTTGGAATTAAATGTTATTAATATCACATCGTTCATACGATTTAAAGATCATAATATTATGTGCTACAAGCATACATTATGTGTGTCATGTTAAAAGTATAGTAAAACAAAGTGAAGAAGTGGGTGTCGTTCTGATGTACAGTACAGTAAGTTACAAGTGGGTAGGACTATGCCAAATGAACATGAGGCTATTCTAAGCTCGGTGATAGAGAGTCAACTCCTCTACGCAGCTCCGATATGGACATCCACACAACGCCTATTTCCTTATCACTTGTCTTGAAAATAATTGTATGATATTATGTTTGCTGAAACTTATGTTTGAAAAAATGGAGGTTTTTTATTACAAACATTTTTGTTGTTAGTTAGTTTAAATTTTAATATTATTAAATACGTGTAAATGATAAAAAAACGATGAGCATAACCAGGGAAAATACTAACTGTTCATGGCTTATTATTTTTACTTTACTTTTACTTTGATAAATATATTATTTACGCTAATAAAACTACTACAAAACAATCATTTTTCAAAAAATCAATCAATTTATATTTCTCTAATAAATATTAATTGATTTTTTTTCACTTACTATTTATTAAAAACTATTAATCATGGAGTGTAAATATATCAATACATAACTCACTATTTTAGACAATAGTTCAGTTGATAAGACGTAGATCTTATCAAGATAATATATTATTTATTTATTTATTTAAAGAAAGAGACCTGTAGATCATTCCTCATTACAGTAATAAAATAATGATATTATCACATTGTTTACCATAACTAACTTCTCGTAAAAGTATGTATTTGAGTATATTTGAATAATTTATAAGACAATACTCTCAACTTGGTTCATCTTACACTATCAATTTATCAAAATTGGCTGCCTTATACTTACATATTATTATTCTGTGTTAATATATCATATACACTGAGACATTTTACTATTGTTTTGAGATTTGAACACTTCTCATGCTGAGAAACTTTTCAATAACCTCTTTTATTCTCCTAAGCGTCTGAGTTCACAGGTACATTTATCATTCCAACAATTCTCACCACATGTGGTCATTTATACACGACGAACAGAGGTCACAGCATGAGTATCTAAAAATGCCAGATAACAAATATTTTAAGTTTTTCCTATGATTCCTTTTCTTATAATATTATCTTATTACTCTACCTACGTATACCTATATGCCTTTGTGAGCCTTATACGCAACTATATTGCGGTAAATACAGTTAAGTGAACTTTATTTACAGAGTTAATCGCCCAAATGTATTAAATTCACATCTGTACATTTTTAATATGGATTATTCATTTACAAATACTTTCCCGAAACCCTTTGAAAACATTTATTTATGGTAGTAACAATAATAATTGTGCTTGCCAATTTCTATCACGTTATCGATGTTTCAATACCTAAATTTATAAAACAAATATTATAAATTACCATCAACACCGATTTCGTTAACTGATTTGTGTAATAATTTATAATATGTACCGTATACATACCTATTATAAATAATAATGTAGCCAACATTTCATTATTTAAAAAAACTATTGATTAGTCTTCACTATCTAAATGTCACACTCTTCTCATAAACAATAATTTTTACCCTCGCTGCAGTCACAATAACTTGTTTTAAAAATGAATATTATTATTTTTCAAATCAATAGAAACAAAATAGATTGTTAACACTAAATATAACATGGCTGAAAAGGAAAAAAATCATTAGTCCGAAGTTGTCTATGCTTTTATATTTTCTATAAACAAGGAAAATGTATTTTAATTCTATCAAAACTGTTTGTGATTAATCTTCAATTACGCTATAATACTATATTTTGATAAATTGAGCGTTTCCGATTTATACGACAATTACAATTCTCTTTAACGTCGGAGTTTTGTATATTTATTAATAATATAAAATTTCGTGTTGCCATCAAAATATTGTCACTGTCAATCAGTGTGGCGCGCGTGTGACCGATGACAATATTATTATTTCCACTCATGGGACTGTCATCGGGACCCGTCGCGTCTGGTGGATAACGGCATTTGAAGGGCTCTGATAATCCTTCGATCGAATATGTAATTCCCCACGTGTTGTAAAGGTTTGTTTAGGAACGCCGTAGAGTAATACGACTTTGTGACGAGAGAATTAATAGGGTATTACCTTTGCACGAATTTTCTAATATACATATACACAACGTGTGTATAAACTTTATACATAGACAACGTGTATAACTTTATACATAATATAATATATATATATTATAGGTACCCGTATAATAATTATTAGTACCGTTGCAGGTGTAACTTGACTATAGATTTTAGTGGTTGCAATGATTGATTGAATACGTTTAAGCGGATTACAACGGGTCCTGCAGAGGATATAGAGGATAATTTATTGACGATTGCATTTTGTAATAGGTTAATGACACTTATCACACACTATACATGCTGTAATTTCAGAAAATTCGATTTTCGTGTTAACACAAAACACATTTATGTTTATAGTTAAAATTATAATATTTTGTTAATAATCGATATTAATACAGAAAAATTCAAACATATTGTATACATAGATGCAATAAATTAGTTGAAATTATAGTTTGAGAGTGTTATGACCTTATACATGGTGATGACCACTACGAATAAGTTAATCATAAAATATTATCGGGAGATGAGAGATGATGGCCAAAACAAACAGATTGGAAAAGGGTACCCATTTAACTAAAAATGTATGTTTTGATTTTTTTTTTGGAATTTTAATTAATTTGTCTAGAAGATGGGATTATTCATTATTGATGGAATTATGGTAATTTACTTGACAACGAGTACGTAGATAGGGAGAATGATGGAAGTGTCATTTTCCATAATTTGTTTTCTATGAGAAACTTGAAGTGCCTGTAGATGGCTTATATCTCCATACTCCCGCAGCCCCTTAGGCCGAGTCGACAGCCTGCTATAATATTTATATATGTCCATGATATCTACCTATTTTATAATATTTAGGCGTATGGAATGTGGCGTGTCCATCGACCGATACACTTCGCAGTGTATCGCAATAGCCCCATACTGCCTTTAATTAGGCGGTGTGGGCTGGTCCTCTAGGTTGGGGGTTTAGCGCAGGGCTAACAACCTTGCCTTGTAAAAAACTTTTGTTCAGGAACCAAACAACAACAAGCCTCGGATATATAGATTCAATGGAAAAACTAACGGATACAGGAAATAGGATTTACTCTTTGGAACATGGAATGTGAGGACAATGTTCCAATCTGGAACAGATATAAGTGTAGTAAAGGAAATTGATAAATATAAAATCAAGATAGTAGAGTACAATAAATCAGATGGAGTGACGAAGGAACCATAGACATAAATGATACCACTATTCTGTATAACAAGTGCAATGAAAGACGATAGTTTGGGGTTGGTTTAGCAGTACACAAAAGCCTAGTGCATACGATAAAAGAGTTCAAAGTTATCAACTGTAGAATTCTTATAGTTAAGGCCACATTTTTTGATGTAGTATTTATAAATGTACATGCACCAACGGAGGAGAAGTCACAAGAGGAAAAAGAAGAATTTTACGCAGAGATTGAAGATATCTTGTCGAGAATAAACAATAGCAAAATAAGAATTATACTGGGTGATATGAATGCGAAGATAGGAAAAGAACAGTTCCTTAAACCTACTATAGGGAAGTTTAGCGTACACGAAAGAACAAACGATAATGGTATGAAACTAATAGACCTTACAACTGGCAAAGGATTCAGGATAATGAGCACAATGTTTCCACATAAGGATATACATTAAGGTACGTGGAGGTCACCAGATGGATAACATGTCAATCAAATTGACCATATCCTAGTGAATGAGAGATTCACAAATGCTGTCAACAACGTATGAGTATATAGAGAAGCGGATTGTAACTCCACTACTTGGTAGTTGGGAAGCTCAATGTCAAGCTGAAGGCGAGACAACAGATTGATAACTCCAACTGTGTCAAATATGAAATAACAAAGCTCGAGAATGAGTAGATATGCAAAGTTTTTCAAACCAAAGTGGGAAATTAACACAACTAACAGATATTAATGAGACTCAACACATTGAATACTTTTGGGAGGTTATAAAAAACATCATTACGAAGACATCAGAGGAAATCATCGGAAAACAAGGGAAAACTAAAAGGAAACCATGGTTTAATACAGTGTGCGAGCTCAAAATCGTGAAGGATGGAGGCAGTTATGTTTGGATGTGTGGTCTAAAAGCCAGCAAACAAAAAAAATCTAAAATGTAAAAGTTATATAATAATCAAAATCATAATAAATTATACTATCGAATAGTTATAATAATATTTATTTAATGTGCATAAGGTTTAAACGTAGCATGTTTTTGAGACTTAGTACAAATAATTTGAATTATGATTTTGGAAGGTGGGTCCTGGGCAAAAGTAAATTTTAGCTACGTGACTGGGGGTTCTTCATGTAAGTACTAAGTATCATGTCGAGGTATTCATTAGGTGACTGGTGACTGGCATGTGAGCTAGGGCGAACCTCAATAGAACTTGGAATGAAGGGTAATCGGTTCGTCATGAGTCTGAAATGTTCGGTCTCTGGTGACGTATATCGTTTAGGACGCTTGGAGAGGGAAATTGGGGTCCGGCTACGACGAAGCTATCAGTCATGATGTTCGAAAACTGATTAGTTTCTCGTGAAATAGACTTTAACATAATTGGGGAATATTATGTTATTATTGAATATAATTGGAAGGCTAAAATAAAATATAAAGGCATACTTGCTTGCATTAAGTTTTGATTTTCCATTGACCGAATAAGTTTTTTAGAACCTTTAGGCGAGTTAAAAGCGACTAAGAGGCTTTCATTTTATGATAAGCGAAGATTTTATGGTTAACTATTGGGATTTATGGTATCAAATTGAATTCAGAAACATGTACTGTAGTCCAGTAGTTGGGTACCTAAATAGATACCTATAATAAGAGGTAAACAACAAGTAAAATATAAATTTTTTTCAGCTCGAGTCACGTGCGTTGAACAGAAGAAAATGTAATGGGCAGCGGTCACGATGACGGAGCTGGCAAGGTGTGGTTGGCGCAGGTCATCTGTCGCCTGGTGTACTCTGTGTACCAGGACAACGGCAACTACTACAACAACGGTTCGGCGTCGACCGTGGCCGCAACCGCCGCCGCTGCAGCCTCGGCCACGGCCGCCACCACCGCGGCCACCGCCGCCGCCATAGCGGTGGCCGGCACCGAGATGGTGATGACCGCGACAACGAACGGGAACAAGTTGCTGGTGACCGAGGCCCGGGTCGACAGGCTGGACTGCGGCGGTACATGGACGCTGGACTGCCGGAGGTCGGAGGGCGCTCTAGCGTGCACAGACTCGCTGTCCAAGGCCACCGATGCCCCTGTCCGGCTGTATCTGCCCGCCAGGCTGTCAGCCCACTTTGACGGACAGCCGGCCGTGTCCGTGGGCCTGCCCGAGACGGCCCGGGGTAACGCCATCACCATCGTCCGATGTGACGGTGACGGTGGTGGCGGCCACGACCACGGCGAGGTGACATGTTCGATACACGGCGAACAGTGGCCTCCCGCCACCGTGACCACCGAGACCACCGACGATGCCGATGACCCCCAACGTTCGTACAACTGGAAGTATCTGTTCGTCTTCGTGTTCATCGCTTCCGGTGGCGTGGGCAACATACTCGTCTGCCTGGCCATATGCCTGGACAGGCAGCTCCAGAACGTCACCAACTACTTTCTCCTGTCCCTGGCCATAGCTGACCTGCTGGTGTGCCTGCTCGTTATGCCTCTCGGAGCCATACCTGGATTTTACGGTGAGCGTCTACAACCATATTATAATATAATGATATAAGCTCGTTTCAATGTGACATCAGTAGAGCTGAGCGTTCAATGTACGACAAAGCCTTGAAAAAAATCAGTTCAAATCCATAGTTATAATTTAGTTTAGAATGTAAGAAGATGGGGGGGAGGTAAATATGTAAGGCTTAAATTTGAATATGCTCTTACACAGTTCATTCAAACGTTTTGTTGAAAAGGTTTTTTTATATTAGCTGAAAACATGTCAACGGTCCAATATCCAACTGACAAAATAAATAATCCTCTCCTAATTTTATACCAGTATAATATTATTATTACCTACCGATATATTATTATTCATTTGTAGCCTTGTAGGTATATTATCAATGATATAGGTAAAAAACAAACCACGAGGCCATATAATGGCCGGGGGCCTTTGTCATGTTATATCACAAATAAAAAAATGTACGATAAAAATAGAAATATTTTAATTGATAAAGAACATCACGGAGATACCATTTGAAAATGCTGGAAAATGTCAATTAATAATTTGAAGCCAATATTCTATAAAAGTATCGGGACTTTTATGAAAAGTAATATAGTATTATAGCAAACGATAGATATGAATTTGAGAGATATATTCACCAGAAATCAATTTTTCATTTTCACAAGCTATTTATAAGCCTAATCGGTTCGTTGCACTGTACAGTTTACACTTTACAATATGGGGTAACTCAGTATGATGACATTATTAAATACTTAATTTACTTTTATAATATTTAAGTGCTAAATAGTGTATGTTTATATTTTATTCGAGAAAAGTAGGTAACTCAAGTTGTACTAAATATAATAAATATTATTCGTATATAATATTTTAAATTTAAATGACCAATATGGCTATGGATGCCGCGATTAGGATATCTACCCTGATAATTATTACCGTCTACCGAGCGCAATCGGTCCATCAACTTTGAAAACAACAGAGCGCAATTATTGGTACCTAGGTATATAAAAAGGTAATTTTAAACGCAATTGGTAAACTCCCGTTGCGGTCGTATCTTACTAATCGACCCATCTATGTGTTTGTCCTTCGTTTATTCTCTCTAATGTTTACACTGACGTTCGGTGTCCCCGAGGTGCTTTTCCATCTCCTCTCCCGTATTCTTTCTCTCATTACTTTCAAAGTACAATCTCATTTTACTCGCTCTCGTGTTCCTTTCCATATCACTATTGCTCCTGAAAACTATCTAGAAAATTCTCCTATAGTACCCGGATAATGCTCACCGCGAATCAAGACCCCGAGATTTTTCCTTCTGATCCTTACATAAATCTGTTATAGTTCTATACTATGCTGTAATTTAATCAACCTGTATAATATTAATATATTATTATTATGTTACCTAACCAAACTGTTGTTTTATGCATCTCGCCCCGTAAATATAAATATACATGATTGTATAGTTTAAATGTTAGTTAATTCCACTATTATTGTGATATTTTAAAATTATTTCACTATATTATATGTATAATATTATTCGTACCATCACTTCTTCTACATTCTGCTATCGACGCACCGACGCTCAAACCTGCATTGCTTAACATAATCGCAAAAACATTGCTGGATTATCGACGGAGAGGCGATCTCTTGTAAAATTAGTTATAATTCTGTTTTTAAATCTTCTTACATTCGTAACAAAAAAAAATTGATTGGTAAGTTCAAGCCCATTAGACTGTTTTAAATACAATTAGTGATTATCATTGCAAAAAAAAAACCTTTAGTCGGCTGTACAGCTGTAGTGCTGTAGAAAAAATATAATATATAGTTGAACACGTGAGATAAAAATTATCTCACTGGATGCCAATTATTATATTGTCCCAAGTCTCTATTCAGTAGTGAATCACGACTGTCAAAGCGCGTTCACCGTGATATCGGAGGATTACGAAAAAGAGCTTTGCACATAGGTGATAGGTACAGTTTAAATCGTATCCATATACTACGCTTCAGAGAAATTGTTTCAACACCATCGTGAACATGTCCCGATTAAGTGATTGAGAAACATTGACAAGATTAAACGAGAGTATTTAACGATTCAAACTAATTCCTATATAGTAACTTTCGGTCTCCGCAGATAATATTATTGTTATTATTATTTAAGTTCCAAATAATGCATAGAAGGTTTAAGGTATACTTGTAAACATAACCCGTCACGTATTTCGCTCTATAAATTACTATCAATAAAAAAATTTTATGAAATAACTAGGTACACACTACAAGGTAGTTTTTTTTAACCATTTACATTTTTCAAAGAATAAATTGCAATAGTCCTAATTTATTTATGACACTTCTGAATGACCAAACATTTAAATGCATACACAGAATAATATTATCACATCACCATGAAACAAAAATCCGGATAAATAACTAATAATGAAATATTATTGTAGTTGGTAAGTGAGTGTATTCAAAGAACTATTGCCTTGTCGAAGCTATTTTAATCTAATACAAATGTAAGAGGTCAACCTCTAACGAGTGCTGTTAATGCTCAATATGTCCATAGAAGGGGTCAGGCCCCAGAAATTAAATATAAATTCATTATTTTGAGAGTGTTTGTATTACTGTAATTTTGACTTCAAGTATCGTAGATAGTATATATCTATAACATATTATATGTATTACAATTTACAATATATTATATATTGTAACATTCCTACAAATTTCTTAATTAACTATAAACCACTAAATACTGCATTTATTTTATTACGAAAAAAAAAAAAAAACCCAAAATAATTTATTGTCAATTTAGCAACATAATTTAACACAATAAGGTATACATAATATTAATAAATGAGGATATTTATTTATTGCAATTGTATAAGTCTCTATTTTGTTCAAACATATTTAGTATATGTCTTCATTATTGTAACTAATGGCACTCTCTATGTTCAAAATACTTAAACTCATAAACCTATATTAATTTATACAATGTTTATATAATATGTCGCATTGTGGAAAATTATATTTCACAGGCCTTTATATTTACCGGAAGAGTAAAAGCTTCTTGCAACATATTGCAAACATTAGGAAATACTTTACCGTCATAAAATGTCAAATTTTTTTTTTATTTTCTATAAACTCGAATTTTTGCTGGATTATATTAATATATTATAATTTGTTGAGGGGGTTAAAGATCTGGGGATATTTCCCACACCCCCAGGATCACCTATCTCTTTTCGCCACTAAGGTCAACTCTATAAAGTTTAATGCTAAATTGATTTTAAATAAGGGTATTGAAATTATTATTTAATTTATTCGTTAAAAAATGATATTGATTTGATAACATAATTAAAATTCTTTAACGTAAGTAGTTAATTAATTTACGTGTAATAAATAATAATACAAAAATCCCATTAGTTCTATTAATTAAATCACCTTAATGCGATTAAATATGTAAAAATGTACTTTTCAATAATTCAATTATTTTTCATGCTGATATCAAAAACTATAAAATGTTAGTCAAGGCTTAAAAATCCCAGGTAAAAAGGCAGCACTTAAGAGTTCCTAGAAATTATGTTTTTTTCCTACTGGTATTATAATATGAACAACGAACTAATATAGTATATATATATATAAATTTGATTGAAAATAAAAAATAATTGAAGTTGAACAATATTTACTGTTCAAAGCTGGAAACCTTTTTGTAAACGTATTTATTAGTATAATACTATGCAAGTTATATACACCAGCTAGGCGTGGCGTTTATGTGTGGGGGGCTATAGTGGCTATGCCCCCCTAGACTTCATGAACTTCCTATAAATAATAATTTCTTGTTGTCGGCCCTCCACACGAGTATGTCTCAGTGAGGCCCAGTAATCTCATAGATTTAAATTTAAATAAATAAAAATATTGTTGTTATTGTAATTGTAATTTGTGCTATCACATAAGCGGTCAGTGGTCACATTAACTGACTGACGTCTGGCCATGTTGTTGATAACACATTATAGGCCTTAGTGGGTAAATAATTAAAATTATAATTTTTGGGATCAAAAGTACATTGTCCCTCCATCTCCCTCCAAAAGACGAATCAAATCCACTACTACATGCCATTATATCAAAACAATGAAACACCATATATCCTACCTATACTATTCGCCGATCATTCACTATAGAAACTATAAAGAGATTATACACTTGTCATCGGCAACAGCGCGTTGTTAATATTAATTTCAGAAAAAACATAAAAATGTTTGCATGTACAAAATGATTGATCATCTTAAAAAAATGCAAGTCACAGAATTCGATTTTTATGTCTACGAAACGATTAAAAGACGACGTTTTAAATTAAATGTATATACCTATAGAATATATGTATATGTTTAATGCACAGTCCGCTTTGGCTACATGACATCAAGCTTCATGACTGTAATTTATTATGGTTTCGGCATTACTTATTTAATACAATTATTAATGTTAGATATGTTAATATTATATTAATAATGTCGTATTTTTTTTTAAAATCAACATGAGAGATTAACTGAAAATGTATTTTTACAACCATTAGTTAATTATATTAGGTACTATAATATCCTATATGTGGGTAATATAATATGTTCGGATGTTTCATTGAGTAAGACATTCATTAGTCATTACTAAAACTCCTTATACAATGCGGTTAATACCTACTGAAGAATACAAATATTTTCAAGAATTGTTTTTTTTTATCTTCTCTAATTGGTTTTAAACTTAATGTATAATATACTAAATTCAGTTTATGTTAAATATTATTGAGAAGTACATTTCTCTATCCTTTCATATTATAAAATGAAAAAAAAAATAATAACTATAATGATTATTTCATTCTTTGCGGTTTTATGGTATTGTGTTTATATTTGATGTAACAAACCCATTTTTTTTTTGAAACATTTGTGTTCATAAAAAAAGGAATAAATTATTTGAGTATTACTAAAAAAGCCCATAGTTATTATATTTGTCCAAACATTAGGAATAATTACATATTAT